TGGCCAAGATGCTCCAGAGCCTCGTCAGGAACGTTTGGGTCCCCATGAAGCCCTACTACACGCAGGTGTACCAGGAGATCTGGGTGGGGATGGGCTTGATGAGCCTAATCATTTACAAAATCCGGCGTGTTGATAAAAGAAGCAAAGCGTTAAAAGCCTCGAGTGCTGCATCTGCTCACGGTCACCACTGAGCCACTGTCCATTGCTGTGGAGCGAGACGTCAGCCTGGCTGTCAATTCAACGAGCGATGTCTGCGGGACCCTGCCGTGGCCGTGCACGGCTGACCTGGCGCAGCGCCGGCCGCCACATGTGCTTGGCATGAATAAACGTGTGTGAGATGAATAAAAAAAAAAAAGCAGAAGCAGAAGATCGTAGTAGTAGAAGAAGATATTTTATTTAAAAAAGTTGTAATAGTGCGCATATTTAAAAATGTCAATTTGAGTCTTTCTCCTACCTCATTACTTCCAGAGAACTAATTCATCTGGTTTTATGGGACAGAGCCTTTCTAATAAATCTATCTTTTCTATCTTTGCTTTTATTTAATTCTTTTAAAAGCTTGATTTTTAACCCATAGCTGATCCTCTAGTGGGTTTTCAGAGGCAATAATTGCACAGGAGGAGATTCCCTACCCTTCTCCCCCAGAGCAACTGGTGGATTCAAACTGCATGCCTTCGGGATTGCAAAGCAGCAGCTTACCACCAGGCCACCGTAGACACATATATATTGGAATGAATGCTCAGGGGTGGGGTGTGTAGAGGGGGGAGTGTGCTCGCGCTCCATGACTCCTAACACCATTGCAAGGAGTTGAGCCAAATTTCACACAGATTAGGGGCACAATACTGACTACCCTCATATCAGACACCACCGATAGGCTTGAAGGTCCCCAGACCACTCTCACTTCTTACAACTGGCTATAAACTGAGGGTTCCCAGTGTACAGCGGTCAAGAACCCAGCTGCTAACAGAAACATGGGCTGTTTGAAGCCACCAGGCACTCAGCTGGAGAAAGCTGTGACCGTCTATTTTAGTAAACATTACAGCCTTGGAAAGGCTATGAGGAATGTATACTTTGTCCTGTAGGGTTGCTAAGAGTTTAAAGTGATTTGCCAGCAGCGGTGTTATTTTTGATTGTTGGTTTTGTTTTGTTTTTAATTATTCCTAAAGTTCAGTAAATCACTACAATGAGTCACAAACCCCAAGAAAGTACTGTTCTTATGAGTACAGTTTTACTATAGCAAAAAGATAGAAATTGGAATCCTCTGGAGGGATAGACACGAGGTTTGGGAGTGTCCTGACAAACAGAGCCTCCTTTGGCCTCAGGGATACCCAACTTCCTGTCACGTCAGTGTGGGCACCAGGTAGAAGAGTGCCAACCGGGCGAGCATGCACAAGCCTTGGTGTCTGGAGGTTTTCTCTACAGTGTTGGTATGTAGGGGTGATTACTGGGTTAATGGCCACACAACTGAAATTAGTCTTTATTACACAGCATGCTATCAAACTGTAGGAAGTATGTGGTTAAAAAATGTTGGGAATTTATAACTACTATCAAGCAATCAAGCTGTTTGCTATGGGAGTGGACGAGGTGTGGTGGTGTTGGGCCCTCAGGATCTCACAAGTGCTTTATCCTGTTGTTTGAGTTACTGTGTCAAGACATCTTAATGTGAGGCTTTCTCTATTTCACTAACCCTCCATCTTTTCCAGAATCTGATGTCTTTTTTTCTTTTTTCAAGGACCGACCCCTCCTGATTGTTGTTGTTGCTGTGTACCATCGAGTCAGGTCCGACCCATAGCTGACCGTCCAGTGGATTTTCAGAGGCAGTTAATCATATAAGAGATTGCCCATTCTTATCCCATGGAGCTGCTAGTGGATTTGAACCGCATACCTAAAATAGGAGATACATTTTCTTTTTCACAGTCGCATAGTTGACTCTCTGACGGGTTTTCAGAGGCCTGTGGGTTTTTAAGAGTTCATCACATGGGGGGAGATTGCTGGTCTTTGTCCTGCAGAGCAGCTGGTGGCCTTGAACCGTGTGCCTTCAGGATTGCAGTGCAGCTTCTTGCCTCTAGGCCACCAGAACCCATTTAATACTTTGCCAAGACCACAATTCAAAGGCATCAATTCTTCTTCTGCCATTCTTATTCATTGTCCAACTTTCAGATTCATTGGAAGCAAGTGGAAATACTATGGCCTGGATCAGGTACTTGTTAGTCTTTAAACTGATATCCTTACTCCATTGCCTGTTGGTCCAATGGGGAAGATTTTTTTTTCTTTCTGGATGTTGAGATGTAATCGATATTGAGGGCTGTAGTCTTTGATCTTCTACGGTAAGTGATTCAAGTCCTTTTCACTTTCAACAAGCAAGGTTGTGTTGTCTGCATAATGAAAGTTGTTGATGAGTATTCCTCAAGTCCTGATACTACAATCTTCTTCATATAATCCAGCTTTTCAAATGATTTGCTCAATATATGGACTGAATAGGTAAAGAGAACAGATACAGCCATGACACACATCTTTTCTGATTTTTGTTCTGCTTGGGTACTTCCTTTCTAGTCTATGTATTGTTTTCCCATGAGCACAGTTAAATGTTCCATTCTCCTCAAAGTTAGCTTCAATTTGTTATCATTCACATAGAGCCTTTGACAGTAAAACACAAATAAATGCCTTTCTAGTATTCTCTGCTTTCAGCCAATATCCATCTGACATCAGCTATGTCTCTCGTGCCATGGCCTCTTTTGAATCCAGCTTGAATTTCTGGAAGTTCCCAATCTATGTACTGTTCCAGCCATTTTAAAATAATCTTCAGCATGATTTTACTTTCACGTGATAGTAAGGATACTGTTTAGTAATTTACATATTCTGCTATATTACCTTTAGAGGGGATGGGAACAAATACATATCTCTTTCAGTCAGTTGGTCAGATAGCTGTCTTCCAAATTTCTCAGCATATGCTAGTGAGCACATCTAGGGCTGCATCTGTTTATTCAAACACCTCATTTGGTAGTAGCTTTAATTTCTTCCTTCATTGTTACTTGTCTTGATTATACGTTACTTCCTGAAATGGTTCACTATTGACTAGTTCTATTTGGTACAGTGACTCTGTTTGGTGTTCCGGGCATCATTCAATATTTTGCTCATAATACCCTAATACTAATACTAATGTATTGCAATTTGAGGCTTGAGTTTGTTCTTCCATTTTTGGAAGACTAGATGCAGAGTTTTTACTACTAGAAGTGAGTTGTGTGTGGCAAGGAGGTGGTGGGAATTGGTCATGTTCCATTTCATACAACAGCAAAAATGGGGGTGGGGGGTGTCTTTATGAGATTGGAAGAAACAGAACCTCTGACTAAATGAAGATATGTTAGCCAGACGCCCCAGGGGAATTATGGTGTGATATTTGTAATTTCTGAGTCAACGCAGCCTCAGGCATTTGAAGAAGATGGAAATTTCGCCTCGTTATTCATTCCCCACTCAGCAGCACGCCTATCCTCAGCTGCACGCCTATCCTCAGCAGCACGCCTATCCTCAGC